CTAATTTACCTGAAGAACTAGCAGCTACAAGATCACATCAAGGTGAATAAATTACTTAGCTTAGCCAGATCACAAAAGTACTTAAAATAAAAGTATAATGATAGCACTATTTAAGTTTTTATCCAAACACGTAGGGATTTGTGAAATTGTTTCAAAAACTGTTAGACTTGAGCAACAAAGTGGAAGTTTTCTAAAGTGTGTTACTGTAAGGCGATGACAATAATTCGGTATTTACATGCAGACTTCCAGAAAATTAGCTCACTGTTCATTTGATGTGATGAGTTGTTAATATTATGTAAAATAACAAACTGGCATTTTAACTAAACAGAGACTCTGCACGGTTATAAAAGAATGACGGGAATCTAAGTTTGGGAGTGAGGTTTCCACTGACAAATGAGATATTCTGCGCAATGTGAAATTAGTCATTTACCACTTTCCGGTTGGAGGCATTTGGTCCTGATTTAAAATGTCATCATTATACACATCGTACTTATTATAGCCGTAAGTTAGAGGCAGTTTATTGGAAAGAGAGTCTGGTGTATCAGCCTGTTGTTTTTGAGACCGTAGGAATTTCACACTTACCTAAGCGAAGAACTGATCGTGTAGTGACGGCAGAGTCATTGCAACAGTGTTCTTGATCTGCTCAAGGCAGATGGCACGTCCAGACAAATGCTACACGGTTTCCTGTTCATCCACTTCCTGGATCTTTTACTTCCTGCTGGCAAGCAGTACTCAAACTTCCTGCCACTCCTCCAATCAATCCCATAAAATCCACCTGAAACACCAGAGTAGTTCCTGTTGATTAGTGTTGGAAGACAAAAGGATATTAACGCATGAAATGCCACATGAGCTGAAGTCACTTATTTAAAATGAAATTAGTGGGATGAACAGGAAAATAATTTGATCCAGCCCCTATAGCAAATTTGATCCAGGGCTATTAGATCTCAGAACATCTCCAAATGATTTTCTACCATTTTATGGACCGAATCCTGTTCTCATAATGTGTGTTGAAACTCTGCTCTCAAATGATAAATGTGTTTGGAGATTAAGGACTTAAAGAAATTCATTAGTGTCAAAGGAGATTGTAAAGATGGGACTTGAATCCAATAGGACTAGTGCCCTTGTAAAAAGGGTAAGAGATGCCGGAAGTACTTATGCACTGAGAAAATGGCATGGCAGGAAACAGCATAAGGGTATCCCCCAGCAAGCCAGAAAGAAAGATCTGTCTCCACTCCACCTCACTGGCACCTTGATCTTGGACTTCCAACATCCACAACTGTGGGGCAATAAATTTCTGTATTTTAAGCCACCTCAGTCTGTATTTATCTTACAGGAAATTAAACAGGCTAATACATACAGAGAGTCGCAAGAGATGACCTCGTATATTAAAAAGAGATAGTCATTACTTTTAAAATGCTTGTCCATTTATGAAACCATCTCTTCTGAAGCTAATAACAATAGCACAAATGTATTGAAATCTTTCTCTGGACTAGCATTGTTCTAGATACATTAATTTCATAAAGTCATGTTATCACTTCTGTTTTATAAGTAAGAAAATAAAAACTACAACCAGTGTAACAAACTGATCCATAATACCCTTAATATTGTAACTAGTGAAATAACTTACAAAATAACATATTTGTAAGTCCTATTATTTTCTGGGGAACAGTACAAGTGAACCCCTGAAGATTTGTGTATTTAAAACATTTCTTTAAGAATGGAAAAATTATAAATCTTCCACAAAATGGTAAAGGATTTTGGGTCATATTTTATTTTCTAATATATTGGAAGGTCCAGAAAATTAGATAAAAACACATTCCTAGGAAGAAGAAACACCACACTGAGCTGTAGTTATGAAGTACATTTCCTTAAAAATGGAGGAAATTATTTATATTTTAAAACAATTCTAGGATTACATAATTAAGGGATTACTTTTTCTAAAATCTGTAATAGAGATTATAATCATTTTTCATTTCTTTACTGACTTTTATATATCTCTACTTTAAAGTTCAGTACAAAAGTTTTCTTTCAAAACCCACATGGGTTTAGTGACCAATATATTTCTTGGTAGAAGGAAAGCTACCATAAGCTTATTTTTAACTTGTCAGCAAGTAAAAATCTAACTAATGTTGATTTTTCTCTGACAGTACTTGCTTGGAAGGTTCCATAGCTTTGATTAATATTTAAACACTAGAGCTTTCACAGCAAATTTACAAGCTGAAATTACTAAAGCTAAAATAAATAGAGGAACATGTAGCCGCTTTATTTTTTACATGGGCTAAAAAGCACAGCCATTAGGAAAAAGCAAGTAAAGAAAGAAGGAATTTTATTTTCAGTTTACTCTTCATTGCCTATGAGAAATTTGTCTGATGGAAGCATCCAGTAAGGTTAATAATGTTGACTAGTTTGAAGCTAATTTATTTGGAATTAGATGCTAATTTTGTCCTTACTGGCTTTGTTACGTTGTTCAAGTTAATTTCCTTTTTAAGTGCTTCAGTCTCCTCACCTGTGAAATGGGGTAATAATATTTAGAAGGACTTTAGCACACTTCACTTTTTTTCAAGACAGAGTCTCACTTTGTAGTGTAGGTTGGCCTTTAGTTCACTAGGTAGCCAAGGCTGCCTTTAAACTCACAGCAATCCTTCTGTCTCAGCCTCCAAGTGCTGGGATTACAGGTATGTGTCACCATGCCTGGCTTTTCAGAAGATTTTAAATGAGCTATAATGAGCATAATACAATGGACAATAACTGGGATATAAGTACCTCATATGTGCTATTAATGTTTCTTGTGAATATAAGATTTAAATATACCATTTAAATAAAGTCATGGTCTTATGACATTCAGCCATTCACTCAACAAATATTCATTCACCAAATATGCATTAAATCCAGGAATGAAATGGGCCATAAAGAGCTGCATAACTCCTGAGACTCATAGTCCTACAGCTAGCATTCTCCTGGCCACCCAACAGGACGGTGGATAGGTGCCTCGAACCGAGCTGTCTATTAGAAAACGGAACTGGAAAGTTGAAATGAGTTCAGGAAAGACTTTCTGAAAGGGGCACTGCTGGGTCTGAGTCTTGCAACTTTGCTGACTCAGAGTTAGCTATAAGAGGAAATGAAAGTCACCAAGGGGAAAGAACGTGGCAAACACATAAGAGTTTGAGGTGTTTAGGAAAGTAAACAAAGTTGAGTAGCTCACAATGAGTGCCATGAAAAAAACCAAGCCCATGCTGACTCCGGGACTCCTTACAATTCCCAGTTGTCTACAACATCGTGGTGGTCTCTTTCTTTTAGGATCAGTGCCTGGATCTGATGGTAGAGGAGGAAGAAAGCACAATAATGCATTTGTGCATGTGACTGAACTGGGTAGAGAAACCAATAAATAATTGTGTCAAAATCATCTCAATCCAAGATTGTGGTTAATTAGACATCATCCTAAATACAATAATATTAGAGTAAACTAATTTCACCTGAAGTTGAAAATATTTTCATATGTATCTCAAAGATGGCTAGACAAGTATTAGTCCAGAAAATGTTGCAACATATTTAAAATTAAAGCTCAATATCATAGAATCCCATGAAGCATAATAAAATTCCACATCTGGTTAAAGCATACACATTGTGTAAGTTATGGACCTGAGAAATTGCAAACTGAGTGTGGATGCAGTTTCAATTAATGACTGCTATTTATGACCCATCCTATTCTTTCTCTTGCATACAGAATTATTAAGCTTGTGGCACTCACTCAAAAGCCTGAATAACTGCAGAAAGATTTGAGAGGAGAAAAATATTTAATCATGCCAGTTTTATTGTAAGTCGGCAAGGTCATCTCTTCAGGTGGGCCTAAATCAACAATATTAATATGAATAATTTACCCAGCTTGGACTTGAAGCCAACTTACTATTTTATGCCTAAGGAAAAAATAACATGGAGCTTTGTAACTCTCCACTCTGACTGCTTGTAATGTTCATTGATCTGATGACAAACAGTGCATAAATCTGTTCTTTAGCAACAGAGGCAACTAAGCTGTCGATTAAAAATGACCGAGCAGAAATTGGAACGTGATTACCAGATCCATAGAACCTGGCACCGCACACTGACCCACATAGCTATCTCTCTGAGAAAAATAAGTGAAACGAAAAGCTCTTTAGAAAAATTGAATTGCAAGGAACATTTTATGAGATTGTTCTGAGTTATTTTTTCTGAGACAAAAAGATGATTTTCCAACTGATAACCCTGAGGACTCAATCCATATCTCTTCCAATTTTTATTTCCTTACTTAATTAAAAAGTGCAGAAAGTAAAATTGTATTTGCCAGTTCTGTTGATAACTAGAACCATCAACTAGTTTCCATCTGGTGCTCACATGATGTTAGAGGGGTTCGATGCAACAGAATCAACTTACACTCTTAGGTGGGCATCAAATACACTTATCACACTATTGAGGGTAGATAGTAGCAGCATATGCGACTGACCAGATGAGTTAGATAGTCAATTATTGCTTACCAGAAGCCATCAGAGATAAAGGATTTTCTTCTCCTAGGGAAAAAAAGAGAGAGAGATCTGAGACAGAAAGCCAATAAGCAGTTCAACCACTTGTTTAGAGTCATGTATGTCATTAATACATGCTAAAACTCTCCATCAAGACATACTGGGAAGGATTCCGGGATATATCAGTGCAGTTCACCAAATTGCTATGGGTCTCTGCCTTCTGAGTGCGTGGCAAGATAGCACTCCCAGTCTCTCTTGTGGCTGGGGGAGGCCCTGAGTCTACTAACAGCCAATCAGTTCCAAGCACAGCAACATGCACACCTTTCTGGACAGAGGATGGTAGTGTGCGTGCAAGACTCTCTAAAACTTTTTTTCCTCGCAAATCCAACTAACACAGTTCTAGCACATGGTTTCTATACAAACAAGGGTCCCTGAGAGAAGTAAAACAGAACAGTCTCTGGCTAAGCTGGGATACACCACTGAAGTAAAATAATTTTTTTTTCATAGTTTCTGGAATTTGGAGTTTATTGGTCTCCAGCCAACATCACTTACCCTCATAAATATGGACCACAAAGCCTTTTCTGCCCCCGCGATGGAGCTCATGAACTGAGAGAGGAATTATCATGAAGCCAAGTAGCAAGGGACACAGCTCATACCTCAAGAGGGAGCTGAATGAAATTTCAGTTTCAAAGAATGGGAAAATGTGAGCTCCAGGTGAGTAATCTGCAATTGCAGGCATAAACCAAGCCTATAAGCTAAATGTACTTGATGTCTGTAGAGGACTACAAAGAAGTTGCCCTAAAAATTCCAGGAAAAATGTAAAGGAATAATTGGAATTTAAGAAATAATGTGTAAACAATACAATGGGAATCTGACCAAAATATTTCTCAATTCAAAAGGAATCGTTTATAGAGAGTTTTTATTTAATGATCATAACATCATTTTGGGTATATTACACAATTCCACTATCTCCATAATCCTGGGACAAAAAGATTGTTACAATTTCTTTTCTGATTCTTTGCATGTGTTTCTGAAATAGGATGTTTCAGAAACCAAATACATATGATCTCTTAGATCCTTCACTGGACTATAAACTCTGTGAAGGAATATTTGGTTGGGATAATGCTAGCATTTAAAAATACCCCATTCCAGCATGCATGAAGCAATTGATTTCAAAGGATATTTTGGGAAATCATCACAGCAACTTTCTTGGACTTTCTACAACTATTCAAGGTCCTAAATATGTTTGCACTGGCTCCTCAGAACAAAGAAATAGCTGCTTCTCTGGAGTGATGATCCAAGATAAAGTAGCTTTGTTGAGCGTACACAGGAACTTCTTCAGTGCCATAATGAATCTCATCAAGTTTGCAAATATCATAAGAACAGATCCAGTGAATGTATCCAAAGGGAGAGATAAAAATAAAAAACCAAGAAATAGAGGTGGTTAATATAGTGTATTAGCAGAGGCAAAGAATTAAAATCTTGCTCTTCTGTTGATTAATTCTATCTTACTTTGAAGTTTTGCTGAGTCTTGTTCTGGAGATAACTCCTAAACTGTGCATTTTTCTCTTGAAACTTTAGGCAGTATTGAGTTCCCTTCTTCAGGACTGCCACTATCAGTATATTTGGCATATTGCCCTATAATATTTGTTTAGGCCTATATATGACTATTTTATGAGACTGAAACAGCTTGGAGAAGAGGGGTTTTTAGTGTTGACACTTTCAGTGTTTACCACTAGCACACAGGACAGGGCCTAACACAAAGCAGCTCAAAGCAAACAATGAACAAATACACTTTAAGCTAAATGATATGCCTGCTGAGAAGGTGATATCCTCCACTGCTTTTTGAATAAACCTCACTATATTCCCATCATGCTGCATTTTGAAATTACTGCAAAGGGCTTACTTCCCAGTGTCAAATTCATTTTCACACATTGTGCTCTAAGCTGTGTACATGCCACGTGCTCTCAAATCTTCCCATTTAATAAGAAGACTTTATTGTCTTTGTTTCACACACTAAAAGAAAATTTCGAAGTGACTATGTGCTTTGAAGAAAATAATCTTTCGCAGGAAGTAAGAACATATGCTCTCTTATCAGATGAATTTAATGCAATATCAGTAAGTCTGATGATTCTGAAACATGAGTAATATTTCTCCATGACTTGTAGTTCTAAGCAATCCTTAATAACATTATTCATCTTAATTCCTACCGCAACCATGTAGTCATGATGGATACGTGTTAGCTGAAATTTTGTAACTTGGGTGTATACTTATAAGGACAAAACCTCTGAGAAATAGATTATATGAGTTCAAATCCCAGCTCTGGCAAGATTTCTCTCCCAGTTTCTTCCTTTGTAACATGAGTACAATAAGATTTACCTCATATGTTTTTGGCAGGATGAAATTAATGAATAATTATAAAGTACTTAGGACAGCAGTTAAAAAATAGACAGTGCTTAATAGACATTAATTCTTATCAATTCTTCACTGGATGCAGTGAAGTCAACTCTTAAACCATTTCCTCTTTTAATGAAGCAGAAAAATGTATATATTTTAAAATATATAAAAATATATATTAATATATTATATATATATATATATATATATATATATTTTACATACTACTGTAAGGCCAGAGGTGTACTTTCAGGATGGAAAGCATATCACGGTCTAGAAGGCTCTTACCGTGAGGTCCACTCACCCAGCACCTGTGCTCCAACTCTCTTGGAAATGTGTCTGCAAAAGGATGGAGAATTCTAGGCTCTTTGCTGTTCACATGACTGCTTATTCCCTGCCTTCACTTGTCAGCCCTTTGCCCAGAAAATTCCTTTCTTTACACTGGGATTTGACTAAAACATCAAATATTCTGAGAAGGCTCCATGTACCTCTGGCAACCAAAATCCCTTTAACTCTTCCTGTAGCCCTAGTACCTACCCATGTGATCACCAGTATTGCTTCGTTTGAGTTTGTCCCTATGTCTTCCTTGCTGACCTACTGGAAAACAAACTATCTATGGGCAAGAACTAAGTTCAAACCTTTTTGTTTGTCATATCTCATACCTAACTGGAACACCAGGGCCTTTGACAACTAGGTATGAAATCAATAAAGGAATTCAAGAAACCTTTCCTGTGGATTTGAGCATATCTGCTTGATTACCTAGAACAGTGTTTCACAAGGAATTCTGTGTTAGGACAAAACAAAGCACAATAGAGGAGGGTTTGTCACCTGAGGTGAAAGCCACAGGCTTCCATAGTTGGGAGAATACTGTCATGGAGGGTACCCTCCCCACAAAGTGGAGGGAGGAGATTTCCATCATCATCAACCGCAATTTATGATGGTGGACGTCTCATCCTTCCACTTCTTCATCCATTTTCACTGTCTTCCTCAAACAACCGTAATGAACTAAAGGTGAGGTTTCTCTGAAATAATTGTGAATGGGGCATAATTGCTTGATCCATTGGAGCAATTAGATGATACCAAATCTAATAAATTCTCTGCCATTTAGAGAAAAACATACTCTCATCAAGTACCATTTTCCTTACAGGTAGAAAGGGACTAATAATGCCTACTGTGGCTTCCACATATGACTGTTACCAGGATGAAACCCTAGGCTAGTGGTAAACACAATTTGAGAGAAACAAATTCTATATAAACATGCTAATGGATTGAAAGTATATATTCCTAGGTATGAATTAATGTAATCCATTGTTAGTAGATTGGCTTTATAATTTATGCCATAAACTAGAACATAAATAAAAAGGAAATAAAATGCTTTTAAGAAATACAACAGAGCACCTGGTGATAGACTGATAGGACATTTCAGGTAAACCATCTCCCAAGTTGAGTGGATATTGAGAGACATTGGAAAGCAGAATTTGAAATGGTTATTCTAGCAAAATAAGTGTTTTTGAGTGTGTGGCACAGGAATTTTTGTTTTATATTTGGAGTATTTCTCACTTTTAGGAGGGAGCAAAGCAGGGTCTTCCCATTGTGTCTGCCGTCTTGCAGTGGAGGCATAGGAATGGCACACTGGCCAGTGAGACCTATAGGTTGTGTGCCCTGCTACACAAGTGTGCTGGCAGTAAGAACAACTCCAGTCATTTTCCAGGGGTAGAAATGTCGGTAGTTTTAGCAATGACCTGTGATTGATTGAGGCGTGCAAAGGGACAGAGGAAAGGCCCACTGCTTGTGGGATGTCACCTTAATGCGGGCTTGATTCCCAGCCTGATTATTAGGGTTGTTTCTCCTCCCTCAACTTCCAAGATTGGCCATGTGACTGCTCACTAGGATCTGTGAACTACCTTACAGCATACAATATGCTTCTTTTCTGGATAAATTAGCCAGAGTTGTTTCCACTGCATATAACTTTGATCTAGAAGCAGTCTAATAAATTGAAATACATTTTCTGGTGAAGCAACCAAAAACCTCGTAGTTCAATGACTTGTGTACAGTCTTATCATTATAATTAGAAAGGGAAGTGAAAGTCACTGTCAGACCCACCGTGGCTAATCTGGAGAATGTTGCCCTCAGCACGCTGCTCTACATGTTGAAGATAATCAATACATATTAGTGTTATTTCCTATGTGTGTATTATTGTTAGTTTTTCTATAACATGCTTTTTTTTACAGGAGCACAATCTATAAACCAATGATACATGAAAATACTCTTCTATAATGTAGCCAAATTATCCAAATAACGATTAAGAAAATTGTGTAACTATAGTTCAAATCCAAAGAAAACAACATAGCCATGGGAAACTATTTCAATAGTCTTTGTCTTCTGGAAGAAAAGGGTATTTTTCTGTAGAAAATAAAAAGCTAAGATTAAGCAATATGCTAAAAAGAGAAAAGTATACCTCTTAAATGGGTAAGAGTCTGATTTTTTATTCTGTAGAGAAAGTGGTCTCAGAAATACATTTTATGATGGTGTACTTTCATGCTAAAACTTAACAAGAACTTGGAACTTTCATCTTTGAAAAGAAATGCCACTGGACTGGATATTCTTTTCCATCTGTTTCTGAAAAGTATACCTTTTTTATGTCGTCCTCAAGTAATTTATTATGGGTGAATCCATTTCCTGTAACTAGGCCTTCCAAGACCACATACTATTCCAGAGGGAGAGCTTTAAGGTGTCATTTAGTATTGTCTTTAATACTACCCTTCCCTTCTTTCTCCTCTTTTACTTATTAGGCATGAAATGTGCTGGCCAGTTTATGAGTTCCTGTAAACAAACTCGTGTATAGAAATTCATGTATTGGTGTTGCTGCCAGTCCTTCTTCTGGCTTAGCTTTGGAGAATCTTCCTAAAAGATCTGAATTTTTCAGCTTCTAAACCAAAAGGCAACTCTAAGTCCAGAACATCTGTCTCTGTTGCATATCTCATTTTGGCCCTGGACTTCAGGAAGTGCTTGAATTCACAAAGCTGCCAAGACACATATTCACAAACTTGGGGTTAGAATTACCACGGAACAGCATCAATGAAGTCTCCTCAGACTTCTGAAATCCTCCAGTATCAGTAAAAAGGAGAACATAGAACCATTAAACAAATTAGCCTGAAATATTTTTAGGTACTATGAAAGTGATTGGTGCACTTCTGCAAAAGAGTATAGCGAGGAGGGCAAGCCTAGGAAAAGGAAAATATTAATTGAACAGGTAAAGTAAAAAGAGGAATAAAAAAATATCAAACTAACATGAATGCAAAGTCGTTGCTGGATAT